AGAGTTTTGATCAGAAATGGGTGTTGGATTTTATCAAATGCCTTTTCTGCATCAATTGATTCAATCCTTTATTCTTGATTCCATATTTTTATTAAAATCTATCTATTCTATTGCTATTTTTCCCAAGACATACATCTATTAATATGGTAGTGATAAATTATAGTGAAATCTTCCTTAGCTATCCAGAGTGTTTATATTTTGACTTCTGTAGACTTGTTTTTTCCAAGGCTAGACTTCCACTTGAATTAGAACAGTGATCTGTCTTCACCTTCCAAATGGACTGACTCCTTAATGATTGTAAGTGCAGTTGTAGTTCTGTGTCAGGTTGACTTGTTTAACTATCGTAGATTTATTATCCACCACTCGTCTGTCAGTTTGTCCTAGTGTGGTGGCTTGTGTGTTGCTGTGAGGCTGGAGGCTATGCCACCTGTATTTCAAATACCAGCAGGGTCACCCATGGTGGACAGGTTTCACTGGAGCTTCCAGACTAAGACAGACTCAGAAGAAAGAGGGGCCATCCACTTCTCAAAGAATTGGCCAGTGAAAACCATATGAAAGTACCTAGGGTCCCTATGAGTCCAAGCTGACTCAACACCACCTAACAACCAACAACAACAGATCTATTATGATCATATTGTAATCTTCCGGGATTGTATATAGTATGGTTGTGGAGGTGGATATGAGATTTGTTTATCTCCCATCTTACCTCTCTACCCTGCCCCTCTGTAAGAATTGTGAATTTGTTCTAACTGGGATGTTGGTTTATAGAAATAGTTCCAGTATTTTTTGGCCATTTACTAGGTTAGTATTATATCAAATTATAATCCATGTTAATATTATATTAAATGTATGCTAGATTTCAGCCACATGTATGCCAAACATATTTTAAAGTTAAACTTATAAATATTATTATTTATAAAACTTAGGATGTAGCTCTGTTTGTAAATGCCATATAGTTAAAATTAACTTGCTTGAATTCATTGCAATTCTAATTCTTTGCGTTTGAGCATCATCTGGGACTAGAGTTCCCATTGATTATTTACCAGAATGTGTGCAAGGGCACACGTTCGTGCTTGTATCATGTTAAAGAGCATTGCTGACCCTCCTCACTGGAGTTGCTGGATCAGCAGATGTGGATGTACAAGATGGTTCTCTCAAAATGAATCGGAAGCCTGCTATCTGTTAATATAATCTGTCTTTCCCAGTAACTGCTCATGTTGGACCCAGTTGAATATTGGGTGAATGCAGCAAGAGTTAAACTTGACAGCCACCCCCACCTTCTGTTTATTAGAAAAAAAATAGTATACTACCAAAAAACTCACCAAGACAAGAGATAAGGAGTTTCAATTACATGGGAGGGGACTGTAGAAGACTCACGTCAATTAAGGTGTTGAAGTGGCAGGAGCCTCATAGCTTAAACAACCTTGCACATGGGTGCCCATGTGAACCTATGTGAACTTTATTTCTGGCTGGCCCATCGCATGCACCTACTTACCGAAGTAGGATGTAGAACAATGTTTTTGTGTAATATGTCATCTAGTTGCTTTCCACTGTGGCATTCACTTTTCTTTGTGTCCTGTCTGTTTGGCATCTATGGCTCTTTGCTTTGGACAACTGGTGCTCCTGTTTTGTGGATGCCCTAAGCACATGCTTACTTTGCTTATTGGGTAATCCATCCTTGGTTACAAATGCTGTGTCATGGTGTTAGTACAGGCATTTGCCAGCTTGTATATCTGGTTCTGGCAGACACCTGGCCCTCTGAGGCTGAGTTCTTGAACAGCCAGAAAAAAAAAAAAAAAAAAAATCCTAACTCACTGGCATCTAGTTGATTCCGACTCATTGTGTCCCCCTTTGGGTTTCCAAGGCAGTAAATCTTTATGGAAGTAGATTGTCCAGTCTTCCTCTGCGGAGGTGATGTAATTTCATTCAGCTGCTGTGGGCCAGTCTTGGAGTAGATGTGGGCAGCAGATATTTGAGCAAAACTCTGCCTTCTACTTCCTGTCTCAAACTCAAATCCCAAAAACTCATTGCTATAGAGTTGGGTCCAATTCAGAGAATTTGTAGGACAGAGTAGAACTGTCCCGTAGGATTTTCAAGGTAGTAAATCTTCTATGGAAGCAAACTGCCTCATTTTTCTCCCACATAGTGGCTGTTGTTGTTGTTGTTGTGTACTGTCGAGTCACACCTGACTCATAGTGACCCCTCCTTGGGTTTCCGA